TGAATGAAAAGGACTAAATCTCAGAAGACTGCATATATAACATAATACACTTTTTATAAAATTTGAAAACTAAGCAAAATTAAAACAAAACTAAGCAAAACCAAGTAATATACAGCTTAGGTACACACATTCCTGTTTAAAAAACCTTTTAAAAGAGGCAAAGAAATGCTTAGCACAATATTCAAGAAATATTTATCTCTGAGGAGAAGACAGGGGTTGGAAAGTAGAAAACACACAGGGAGCTGTAAGTTATTGAATTTTCTGTTCTTGGTTTGGGAAGTGGATTCTACGTGTTTATTATATTATTTAGTGTATATACATAAAGAAAAAGAAAAGATGGCTTCCAATGGATCAGTGGGGAGAATGTGCCATGAATGATTGTGATTAATTCAATTCTGTGAACCAAAGAGCCAGTGAGTTAATAAATAAGAAATCCCAGTTCCATCACATGCTAATTTTATGAAATTTTCTTGACTATGGGGAAATAATAAACTATGGACTATTATAAGGATTAATTGAGAGATAAATGGGAGCTATTTTATATCAACTTTATTGTTATATAATTCACATCCCATACAGTTCACCCAAAGTGTATATAATTCAGTAGTTTTTCATATCGAGTTGTGCAACCATTACCACAATCAATTTTAGAACATTTTCATCACCCCACAAAGAAGCCCTGGACCCATCAGGAGTCATTTCCTTTCCTATGCTCCCTTATCCGCAACCACCAATCTATGTCTTTATAGATTTGCCTACTCTGCACACTTCATATAAATGGAATCAGAATATGTGTTTTTTTGTGATGAGAGCTAATATTTTTATTATCTTTTCCTATGGCAGAAGTTACTAGAGTATGGTGGTATGAATCTCTACTGGCCTATAAATATCTGTGGCTTAGCTGCCCATATAAATGCTAGCTGTAGTTATAACCATCAAAATCATTTTAAAATGATTGAGCATGGTCTATCATCTGGACACTGCAATACATTGTCTTATTTATACAAGTCTAACAAAGCACAATCAAGCAGGCATAGAGAAGCCAGACAACTTGGTCAAGGTCATATGGATAGTTATGGGTTCAAAACAGGGGTTTTGAATTGAGGTATGTCTGAATTGAGAGTCCAGGATCTTAATCACTACCCAATAATGTCTCATACGATGAAAAGCTATTCCCATTTTTTTTGTGGAGGAGGGTGGTAATTAGCTTAATTTTTATATGATTTTTTTTGTTCTGTCAAAGTAAATTAGCAGTTTTCATTGCAATCAAGTAGGGTTAGTGGCTTGAGTTAGTCTTTGCCTGGCTAAAGTTATCCAACATATAATCATTTTTTTTCCTAGAAAAATTTACCTGTGGGAAGAGTAGCAATGACCACTCAAGAGAAATGTGCCAATGAATGAGTAACAGATTGTTGACTTAAGGGTTAGTAAAACATAAAGAGCTCCCTAAGTCCTTAATTATTGGTGTTCAGTTGAGGACGCACCTGCCTGCTCTGAGGTTCCTGTGGGTATAAGGTCAGAGTAACAGGAGCTGTTATTTTACGGGCATTGGGACAGACTTTCTCTGAGTGTCTAGCAGTGATCACTGCATATGGGAAATAAATGAGAGATAGCAAAGACATGAGATTGGGGAAACAGTTAAACCTAATTTGATTTAGTTTAACACATGGAGATTTCAGAATTTCTATAAAGGAGAGGTCAGTGTTTTTCTTGGAAGAAGGCACTCAGGAGGGTAATTTTGTGCTGGTTTTATAGAGCAGAGAACTCTGTTTTGTTGATTATACATTTGCTTGGAAGAGGGTTGTTGCTCTTGGAACGTATACATTCCCACAGAAAGACATAAAATTCATGGCCCCTTCTTCCCTATTTAGCCTCAAGGGAGCTTAACAGACCTGATTAAGCAAGGAAAGTCATCAAACTTTCTTGGACAGCTCAGAAATCCCTGGGGTTGAGTTGAGTTTTAGGTGAAGGGTTCACATTGGTGTTAAACCAGTTTGCCCCATCTCATCACTGTCCACGTTTGACAAGACTGCTGTTTGCACTACACTCACACTGACAGCCAGGACACAAGTATTCATGCTTGAGACCCAAAAAGAAAAACACCTGGCTATGAATACCTGCAACTATACAGTTTATTTTTATTAAATAACTGCATGATCTTTTTCCAGGAGAGCAAGAACTCCCACTGGAGCCCAGGTTCTAAGGGCACACCTCTCTGCCGTTGTCTCCTGACCTCCTTCCCACCATCTGACAAGGGGCTTCAAGGTTTTTCCTCTTTTCTGACCACCTAGGATTCCTTCCTCTTTTCTCTGCCCCCATCCCTCCAATGCAAAAAGGCAAAATAAGGCATAGAGTTTTGTGCCAACTTCATCCCTAAGTGGTACAGTGATTCTCAGTCTGCCCCAAAAGCCAATTACAAGGAAGAAGGGCCTGAATTCTTACTTAATCAGGGAAATATTCCTTGCACTCTGAGAAAAAAATAAAATCACTTAATAGGGGAAAAAATCTTTATAAGTTGGCTAGTCCCTGACAATAAGAGAAAGTCACTAGTGGCTGGTGTGTATCTACGTCTGTGGAAAGCCTAAACTGCCTCAGTTTATTCTCACCCAGAGTAGGATAGGCTGGTGATTGAACTTGAAGTCATAAAGATGAGGGACTGAGGGACATGAAAGAGCTATGTTAAATCTGGGATGACCCAGATTCTTCCCAAAACTCACTAGAACATAAGCTCCGTCAAACCAGGGATTTTTGTTACTTGGAACTTCCAAGGCTCTCAATAAATTATTAAATGAATGTGTGAAAGCCAAAGTGGATGGATGACGTGGGTCACTGACAAGCCTGTCTCCATCTGCGGATAAAACTTCCAGCTAGAGGAGGAGCGGGGAGGTCAGCCACTCTCATCTCCACCCCTAGGAATGTTGCTACGCCCATCACACCAGCACCAACCCCCCTGCATTCCCTAGCAGTATTGTCAATAATACTAATTATTCTATGCCGGATGATTGTCACTCACATTTAAGCTAAACGTCACAATAACACCGTGAGGTAGGTGTTAGCATTCTCATCTTACAGATAACAAAAACAAAGTTCACAGAGGTTAAGTAACTTTCTCGTTGTCTCACAGTTAAACAGCCAAGTAAGAATTTTAACATAGACCTGACTGACCTCAAACCTCGCTATGGTTTTTACTATATTGTCAGGATATAAAGGGGAGGGTGATGTCTACTTATCTGTGATAATGCAGAGCTTCTAAAAGGACACCATGTGCCTGCTATGAGGGAAAAGCCATCCCCAGTCAACTTCAACACAGTCAACCATTTCCATCTGAATATTATTATTTAGAGGGTTGATGTTACTGGTTACTATTGTGTCCTATTAGAATTCAACTAAAGTTTGTAATACGTTTGGATGGGTTCTCACTGATTTATATATAGTGCGAGGCATAGATACCTCACCTTCCCCAAGAATGAAAGTCATGTCTTTTAAAAGATGCAGCCTCTATTATACTTAGAAAAACATTAGCCATTGTTTGAATATTCATAGAAAGATCGAGAAGCTGGCACTAGTCTCCAGAGACTTAAAGACTATTTAAATAGTTCCTTGATGCAACATTCTTATTGGTTGCGTATTGTAAACAATTGTGAACCTATTGTGCCTACCATAGAAGTGATGTCACTTCACCATCAAATTACAGGATTACATTATAACACACAAATCAGGCATTCTCATTGACTTATGTATCCAAATGCCAGACTTCTAGAAAAGAGCTGACATGGCACTATAGATAGGCATCTCATATGATATGGCTAGGAGTCTTGATCTGCTAAATTCCAGAGAGTCTAGAAGTCTACAGAAGATATTGAAGTAAAAATGGCCACATCTGTCACCATTGAGTAAGGTCAGAAGGCAGAACTAGGATGGGGACTCATGGAAAAGTAGAGAAAATGAAAACAAACTTTTCTCAATCTCCTCTTCTAGCCATGGGGTAAGCTCTCAAAATATGTACCAATGGTCTCCATAGTTTCTTAAGTAACCAATTAACAAGTCAAGTCAATTTTTAAACAACTGACTTGCACATTTCTCTCTCTCTCTCTCTCTCTCATCACCTTTCCAGCAAAATTCCTCAAAAGGGTTGTTGAGCCGGGCGCGGTGGCTCACGCCTGTAATCCCAGCACTTTGGGAGGCCAAGGCGGGTAGATCATGAGGTCAAGAAATCGAGACCATCCTGGTCAACATGGTGAAACCCCGTCTCTACTAAAAATACAAAACATTAGCTGGGCATGGTGGCGCGTGCCTGTAATCCCAGCTACTCAGGAGGTTGAGGCAGGAGAATTGCCTGAACCCAGGAGGCAGAGGTTGCGGTGAGCCGAGATCGCACCATTGCACTCCAGCCTGGGTAACAAGAGTGAAACTCCGTCTCAAAAAAAAAAAAGAGTTGTTGATATGAACTATCTCTCATTTCTCTTCTCTGGTCCTCTCTAGAACCTCTCAAACTGCTTTTGATAAGGCCACCAGTGAGCTCTGTGTTGCCAGATGCTGTGGTCGGTTCTCCAATCCTTGATTTTTCAGCCACACTTGACGGTCAATCACACTGTCCTTGGATGGAAGGCTGGAATTTGGGGCTATTTCATTCACTATTGTATTCCATCTTCTGGAATAGTGCCTAGTGCTTCATAAATACTGAATAAATGGTTCTCTTCCTAGAGGAGGTGAATCATAAAGAATAGGTAAGAACTAATCAGGCAGGTGAGGATGGAAGAGAATTCCAGCAAGAAGAAATAGAAGCTCAAAGCCACAAAGGCATGAGATGACTTGGCAGATTCAGTAACATCCAAGTAGTTCTGAACGGTTCTGAAGGATGCTCTCCATTAATTCCCATGTCCATTCAGGGTTCTCTTGCAAAGTGGGGTCCCTTCATCTCTAGGGTGATTAGGCCATTTTCTGGCTTGCTTTAGGAAGAAACTCTTGGAGCCTGAGAATCATTACCCTCCCCTTCTCAGCTCAGGTGCTCTTACCTGAGGAGCAACAACTACAGGTGAGGGCCATGGGAAGGGAGGGCACAAAGAGAGAAGAGAAGGGACAAGCTCTCAGAATCCTGTGGGTTCATCACACCGGAAAGGTGGATCCAGAAAAGCCATGTTTGGCAGGTAACGGGCTCTGCCTGTGTGACTCAGCAACCTCTAGCGTGGCATCCAAGCTGAGCTAGTTGAAGTAAGCCTCGTTCCCCAAGGCCTGTTGAGTGAGCTTGTAAAGGACTTGCTGGAATGCATTGCAAAACCATTCACTGTCCCAGCAAGATGCTTTAAAACCAGGCTCAGAAGTAATCCAAAAAGAGGGAGTCTTGATCCAAGTTCACAATGCATGTGAGTAAGTCACCCAGCATCTGCCAGCAGGCCTTAGTTCCATGCAAACTGGGAAATCAACAACGTTCTGTTGGGTGTGCAGCCCATTAGTAAAGGCTCGCAAAGACTCTGGGATTGAGATCCTCAGCCTCCACAACAGGGCTGCTTCACGCGCCTCTTGCTTCTCTTGCCGAAGCGTCCCAGAGTGTCTTCCCAGGATGGACGATTTATCCCACTCGGTAGATGAGGCCCAGAGAAGCTAAGTCCTGCCTGCAACCACCCAAGTCAGTTCCTGAGGTCAGAATTGAGACCTAGACCTGCCAGCCCTGATGTGGCCATTGGATGGCATCCTCTGAGGGACTCCAGAGGAGAGCAGAGGCCACGGGGCAAGCCTTCTTTCATGGAAACTGGCAGGCAAAGGGGATGGGCAGGTGTGGGAGTGGAGCACAGAGAACCTCTTAGCACAGCAGAAAGAATAACTCAAAGCACATGTCCTACCTGAGGTGTGTCAATGGTATTTTCCTTGTAAATAAAGGACATCAGTGCTGAGATTAGTACTTGTATAATCATAGAAGGTTGAACTGGAAGGGCCCCTGGAAGAGCATCAATCCAATTTCTTTTGTTTGTTGGTGAGAAAATGGAGATCCAGAAGGTCCACTTCAGTTGCCCAATGTCGCACAGTTGGTTTATGATGGCATGGGCATTGGAAGGTTTGCACCTTCAGCACTGATCCTGTGCACTTTGCAAATGCCAGTAGTTTTCACAATAATTCTCTGTTTTCTGACATCATGTTGAAACCAAGTCAATTGCCCCCTCTAAAACTTTATGTAGCTCCTCTTCTCTGCTCTTCTGACCTCTGAACTGAAACTACAGAGAGACATCACAGTCAAAGGGCGGGTGTGCACTGCTCAGCACTGTAATTGAAGACTTAAAACTTCTTGACTCTTCTACTCATTTGGTCTTGGAGCCAAAACTAACACAGCCATGAAAAGAAGTGCTGGGAAGCCTCTGAGACACTCTTGGAATGGCAGCTTCTGGGAGCTGGTGAGCCTGCTTTCACTGACCAGGTCCGGCCCACTCTGGGGCATGTGTGTGAGGGAAACATGTTTGGAGCTGTGTTCTCAGGCTGCATGCCTGGGCCTTCCATTCCACTGAGTGATGATCATGGCTCTCGGCAGAGGCAGCAGCTGCCAGCGGGAGGCTCTCCCATCACTCACTTACCCACCAGGTGTTCTTCCCAGCCACCACAGCAGCTTGGCAGGGAGTGCCACCGCAGGGGTGCTGATGGGCGAGGCGGTGCATCGCTTGCTCCTCTGCCGTCCAGGTGTCAACAGATGGGATATGGATCTGCCCCTCCCTTAATAAATAAATAGAACTTTTACAGGCTGAGTAATCCCACAGAGGATAAGCCAGACTGCCAGTTACCCCAGGTTTTCCAGCCAGGATTGAGCCTCTTTAGTCCTGGATCACAGAGCCCATCAGAACTCTTGTATGAAGTGGTATTTCCGGAATGCTGGTCATCCACCAGGTAGCCGTGAGGCTGCACGTCCGCCACACTGGAGTTGTAGGGAGCCAAGTATTCCTGAAGTTCCATTTGGCAAATGTCCCATCCCAGTTCCCACAATCCATGTTCATGGTTCTGTGCAGATGCAATCAACTCCTCACAGTCAGCCCCAGGACAGAGTGAAACAGCGGATGAGACAACTTAAGGAAGGGACACGGACACTCTCGAAGGGAAAGACATCTGCCCCAAACCTTTTCATTCTTTTCCTAGTGCTTTCTGACCTCAGTGAAAGGGGCAGAAAGACAAACTCTTGGGTCGTTTTCGTCTTTCTGCGGATTGGCTTCCAATGCCAGGCCTTTAATGAAGGGGACAGTCTGGCTCAGTCCTGACAAATAAAAAGGGGATGCTGGCAAGATGGACAGAGACCAGGCTGGAAGTTGAGTTCTGGAGTTCCACAGTCACCTAGGATAAAGCTCTTAGTGTTCATATAGTAAGAGCAGCAGCCTAGGAGTCAAAAGTCCTGGGGTTTGAGATGCTTGCTTAGGTGTCACTTAACTTTCCCGAACCTCAGTTTCTTCAACTATAAAATGGGGATAGTAAGACCTTCCCTGCTTACCCCATCTAATTATGAGCTAGAATAAATGAAAGCTTTTGGAAAGCCAGTGAGTACTTCCCAGAAATAAGTTTTCACTCTGCTCTTGTTCTTTGGGTATTTTGTTTGTTTGTCTGTTTGTTTTGCAGACAGAGTCTCACTGTCACGCAGGCTGACTGCAACCTCCACTTCCAGGTTCAAGCAATTCTCCTGCCTCAGCCTCCCTAGTAGCTGGGACTACAGGCATGCACCACCATGCCCAGCTAACTTTTTGTATTTTAGTAGAGACAGAGTTTCACCATGTGCCCAGGCTGGCTGGTCTTGAACTCCTTAGCTCAGGCAACTTGCCCACCTCAGCCTCCCAAAGTGCTAAAATTACAGGTGTGAGCCACTGCCCCTGGCCCACTTTGTCCTTGTGAGCAGTCATGATGTTCCCACCGACTGGCTAAGTTAGCCAGCGTGGACCAATGCTGAGTGAGGGGTGGGCTCCTACATGAAGGTGGACAATGTAGGTGAGGCCCCGGGGTTATTGTTCCCCTGCCTTCTGTGAATCGTCTACAGCCACTGCTCAAAGAAGAAAAGGACAGCATCCCTAGTTTCAAGGAGAAACTGGTCTCCTCACTGCATCACCAGTGCAGGCCTCTTTGACTCACACAGGACCGTTTTTTCAGCACAGGGTCACACGGAGGTCAACCGTCAATCCCCAATGCGACAGAAACTCACCTCTGACTGTGAACCTCCAGGTGTTTTTTTGTTTTGTTTTGTTGTTTTTCCTAATCTACCAAGCAATGAATTGGCACTTTTCACCGAGGAATGACTACTGGGCCCTTTAGAGCCGCTTTAAGCTCCATGACTTAATGACTCTCCCGTTTAATGGAAGCAAAAGCTGTTTAAGTGGTCACAGCTGCCAGGAACTTTGCTGAAAGAATGAAACTTTCTGAGCAGGTTGGGCAGTAGCAGCGCTAATCTCCGAGCCTGCAGCCCCTCGCCCGCCCTTATCTCAGGCTTGTTTTGACAGCACCCGGAGCTGGTCCCACCAGAAGAGCAGCAGCCTCGCTCCTTTCCCTTTTCACGTCTTCTGCGGCAGCCCGTGGTTTGCTGCAGGGGGAAGGGAGAAACAATCAAGCATTGTCTTGTTGAAGACCGGTGTGTCAGGGCTTCATGGAATAAATATTATTTGCCTGGGAGGGAAACTGGCTGGAAGACAGCTCACCGTGTCAGGTGCGGGCTGGGGCAGGGGGGCGGGAGGGCGACGATGTTTGGGTTTGGTTTTATTATTAGTTTAATCTTTTTCTCTCTACTGCTGTGAATTCTGCACCCCCACCCCGCCAAACAGGCCATTAAGCACAAAGCTTGTTTCTTACCCTACTTCTGCCAAGAAGAAACAAAAGAGATTTTCCAAAGCATGTGCCCTTGTGTCACTGAGGCTCCCTGGTCACTCCCTGTCCAGCTGTGCGTGGCAAAGGGTGTACACTGCGGGACCCTCACAGGGTGAAAGCTCCCCTGGGAGCCCTCCATCTGCACCTGTAGCCCGGGCAGCCCCAGATGTCTTATCTGATGGGGTTCACAGCTCTGTCCTTTCGTTCCTCGGGCAAATACTGAAAGGACAGTAGTCTCCTTTGTAGGTCTGGGGAAACTGAACACTCCCCACCCCAGTATCCCAGTCAGCACTTATTGAGTCCTTATGGTATGCAGGTCACTAACGGCTCCAGCCTGCTGCATGTCACAATTCCTTCAAGCCTTTTGCTCAGGAAAGCCGCACATGTCTCCAGAATAAAGAACAAAAGACCAATGACTAAGAGACAGACACTTGAAGGATTGCTCCATAAAGGTTGAGCCCTCCTCATCTCAGGAGAATGAGAATGTTTTCCTGTAAGGAAAACAAGAGCCTTGTAGCCTTTCCACAGCCACAAAGCAGTGGAGTAGTGAAGGGGTGCCTCCACTGTGCAATCAAAAGTCTTCTTTCTGGCCAGGCATGCTCGCTCACACCTGTAATATCAAAACTTTGGGAAGCCAAGGCAGGAGGATCACTTGAGCCCAGGAGTTCAAAACCAGCCTGGGCAACATGGTGAGACCCCTGACTCTATAGAAAATTTAAAAAATGACTCAGGCATTGTGGCATGCACCTGTATTCCCAGCTACTCAGGAGGCTGAGGTGGGAGGATTGCTTGAGCCCAGGAGGTTGAAGCAACAGGTGAGCCATGTTCTCTCCACTGTATTCCGGCCTAGGCAACAGAATGAGACTGTATTCCCCCCACCCTCAAAAAAGTGTTTAACCATAAACCTTTCCCTCATCGCTAAATCCATTTTGGGTATAAGCCACCTACCTGATGGCTATAGTAATAGTTGCTAATGATTGAGAATGCACAGCATGTCGGGCACTTGCTAAGTGCTTTCCATATATTATCTCACCATGTGGCAAGCCTGAAGAAAGCTTGGAGAAAGTGAGGAACTGCCCAAAGTCACACAGGTCCTCAGAAGGCTTCCTGAGAATGGCACCACGGCCTTGGCTTTATAGGCATGGCACTGGAGTCAACTTCACGTGCTGGGGATGTTGTGTTCCCAGAAGGCAGAGACCCTATCTGTGTACTTAATTATTTTTGTATACAAAATAATTCAGTGCTGTGCCATGAACAATTAAGGATTTCACACATACTTTTTGAGGATGATAATGATCTCCCCATCCCAGCCAGTGAAATAAACATTGCCTCCCTTCTCTCAAAAAAAAACAAAGAGCCACAGCAGGCCAAGCCACCCCGGGCACACTGCAGGGTGTGTAGAGATGGCACCACCAGGTGCGTTCTGCAGACCTGGCTTTGGATCCCAGCCTGGTCACCCACTTTCTGGGCCCCTGGAATGCACCAGCTGACCTCTCCAAGGCCAAGTTTCCCCAAACATGGGAGAAAGTCACAGCACCTACCTTTTAGCTCATTGTGAAAATGAAGTGAGAAAATGCCCACGGTGTTCCCAGCAGCACTGCCTAGTGGAAGGCAGATGTTCCATGTCAGTTTCCTTACTCAGTGCCCAGGCATCTTCCCCTTGTGGAACTCTCAGCACTCACGAGCCCCTTCAGTAAGACCTGGAATGCAGTTTGTTGACCAAAGGAGTGCTGGCAGGGAGGGAGGATCTTCACTTGGGTGGCCGTGTCTCCTATGTCTGTTCTTGGTCCCCCTCTGCCTTGGGGACATTCCCACCAACACATGCCACTGGCACCACACCCTGCTGACCATCATGCACTGCTGTTCTTACTTACCTAAAAAGCTCAGACTTCGATATCCTGTTGTCCTCCTGGTGGCACGGCTGAGATCAGGCTGAAGCTTTTCAACAAGAGGTAACTCATGTGGGGAATAACATCTAAGTAACTCTTAAGGTTACTGCTGCATCCTATGGCTCACACAGGCTCTCTGCCCACCCCACTTGTCTGCAAAGGCTATCCTCCAGCCTGTCTAGAGTGCACAAGGTCTGGGCTGGAAAGAAAGAGGCCAAGGAGCTAGATGTCTCTCTCCCACCCATGACCTACTTTCTGAGTTCTTACCAAATTGAATACAGGCCTTCTTCCCAGGGGATAGCAGGAGTCAGAGCTCCTTTCAGTGGGCCCTGCCTCATTATATTCAGGAGTGTGGCCCACCAGATAAATGTCAATTCAACAATAACTCCTGCCTCTATACATTCAATGCTCCCTGGAACAACAGAGAAAGGGAAGAGGAGGGGAATTTTATTACAAGTGATTTATATTTACGCTATCTCATTAGATGCTCCCAACAGGCCTATCAGATATTTTAGGACCATCATTCCTAAGTTGCAGATAACAAAATTGGCCTTGGAGAGGTTCAGGGAATGACCAAGCTAAGCCCAGTTCTCCTATCTCCCTCCCTTGAGTCCAGGATACCAACCTAGTCACTGAATCTTCCCCAAGAACAAACCTGGGGCCAGGGTGAGAAAGGGGCTTCCTGGGAGTGCTGAGGTAAGTCGGCACTGGATGCAGCCACAGGCAAGGTGCCATGGTGGTTGTCCCTGCCTCTGCCAGGTTGTAGGTCAGGACACCTGATTCAAGTCCAGGCTTTGCCACTTGGAAGGCTGTATGGTCTGAAATCATTATTCTCCGTGCTTCAATTTCTGCATCCGTAAAATGGTAAGGAACAAACCAATTAATATCATAAAGCCCTTAGTGCCCTTGGTGCCTAGAACATGTATTTAATAAATATCAACATTTTTATTAACATTGTTATTGTTACTGTTATTCCCTTTCAAAGTCTTGCAAGAAATAAATGGGATGACTGATGCAAAAACATGTTGTAAGCTGCAGAGGTAAGAAATGACCCCTCCTGTATGCTGAGAAGGTAACAGGAAAAAGAAATCGGCCTTAGATTATGTCATCGAACAGCCTCGAACTTTCAGTAGAAAGCACAGAAATACTCCGAAAAGCAATCATTTGCCTTGTGGTTTTCAACTTTAGACTAGATTGTTTGTTATGCACATAACTATTTGCATTTCACTTATCCTCAATCATCACATACCTGGGAGGGAAGGAGGCTGCGTGGAGCCCCCGGAGCCCCAGCCCCGTGTGGTTACACCTCCCCGCACTTCTGGTCAAAGTAGCATTGCCTGGTCTAAGCAGTCCTTGGTGCCTTAGTGTGAACAGAGCATACTATTAAGCTGTGTCTCCCTTTCTCAGCTAACTCAGGTGCAATCCTTCTTGACAGTCTGGAGGAACCAGGCTGGCTGGCCACCCAGTGAGGGGAAGTTGCTGCTAGCAGATTAATGGCTGAAAGCCCAATAGTACCACCCCTCATTGTCTTGTAGCAAAGACTCCTTGGCTCATGTTTAGAATGTGTCTGATTAATTAGCCAAACAAGAGTCACTGAGTGCAACTTTATGGCAGCGCCCGGCTGGAAAGAGTGAGGTATCTAGGGGAAGTGTCCATGCTTGGTCCCTGGCCTTACAGAGATCAGTCTGGCTGATGGAATGAGATTAATGAAATGGAAACAATGAGCAAATCATAAGAGACAGTACCGTCAGGAAGGGTTGGATTTTATGGCACAGAATGTCGTTGTTAGAGGAGAGAGAGAGAAAGGGCCAAAAGCTAGAGTGGGCAGGGAAAGGTTCCTGTGTGAAGAGGTTTGTTAGCTGGGTCTTTCAGGTGTGTAGGAGTTGAAATGGTGGGAGGGAGAGGCATTCCAAGTTGGGGAAGCTACGTGAGAGAATCTAGGAGACAGAAAAGAACAAGGGCTGTTTATAGGGCAGAAGCTAAACTGGTATGGCTGGAGTAGGAGGAGGGCGTCCTAATTTCCAGCCTTATCCACTGCTTTGCAAGAACCAGCAAAATGAATTCCAATTGGCCATAAAACTAGTTGAGGGTAATGTAACCCATCCTATTCTGCTTCCCGCATTTACAGCTGTGCAGGAACAGCTGTCTGAAACTCAGTCTCCCCACCTGTAAAATGGGATAGTGATATGTGTCTAGCAGTTCCAGTGAGAATTAAAAGGGACAAGATGCACAGGCTCCCAGGGGCAAGTGCTCACAGACAAGGAATAGGGCGATTCTCCCATCGCACTCCACAGAGAAGACATACCCTCCAGCTCTCCCAGGAGACAGACTCCAGCTCTCTTCCAGACAGCCTTAGAGTTGCTTTGCTTCTCCACTTCTTCAACGAGGTTGTGGGCAGAGGATAAATGCAGAGTTCTCTTGCACTGGCCAAGGAGAGAGAACAAGACCCTAGGAGTCTGTTGCTGTTGACATTGATCCACAGGGGATGCAGGATGGGACTGAGGCAGGTGCACCTGCCGGGAAAGCCTGCCTGTACCCCACCTTGTGGGGTCCTAACAAACACCCTCCCAGCCACAGGGGCTCTGCAGAGCTCAGCCAGCTGTCCCATGGGGGTGGGGACCCTCCTCCTGCCCTGCCACTCTCTCTTTCTCCTGAAGAGGACAGGCAGATGGGCATGGCCACAGGAGAACCTCTCAAAGGTGCTGACTGGCCCGGGGAAACAAAGGTGGCCTGGTAGGGAGTTGCCCGAGACTGAGCGTGGGGGAAGTTGAGCGGGAGGGGGAAGCGCGTGCTGTAGTGCGCGCAGCCTCGCGTTAGCGAAAGCATTGTGAGAAGTGTGGTACACGGTTGCTAGGTTTGGAAACAAACAAGCAGCAGTTTCGGAAGGAAGGAGTGTCTAATCAATCAGCCCTGAGGGACAGGTCCGCACCGCCTGACCGTGCTCCTCAGCCTGGTTTCAGGCCACCGAGTCCAAGTTTCTGCCACAGTTCCAGGGCCGAGGCTGTTTCCAAAGAGCCCTGTAATTGTTTTCCACCTGTGCCTCACCCAAACAGCACGGCTGGCGCAGGCGAACACCTTCCTCTCTTCTCCCTCCAGGCTGGGCCCCAGAAATAGAGGAGGGAGCAATCAGTCCAGCGAGGCCGTGCCTGGGAGGAGAAGTCCGGGTGGGTCTGTGGGGCTACGAGGCGAAGGCGGTGGCAGGTGTGGGCGAGGGGAGCCTGGAGGGGTTGCTACCGCCCGTCGCACCGCAAGCCCGGGAGGGAGAGCCCTGCTGTGCCCCGTGAGCAGGTGTAACCACGCGGAGCTGGGGCTGGGGGGCTCCGCGCAGCCTCCTTCCCTCCTAGGAGCGTCGCCCAGCTGTGCCTCTCAGACTGCGCGGGCCTGAGACGCTGGTGGCTGCCCGGGGTGGTCCTGCTCCTTGCGCACGTGTTCAGGTCCAACCGGGAGCCACCGGTGCTGAGTCTCTGCTTCAGATGCTTGGCTAGAGAAAGGGTTGCTTAACGGGGCGCGTGGGTAAGTGCATGTGAGTGCACACATATGTGAGCGCATGTGTGTCTGCGCGTGTGCGTGTCCACGGGAACCAGAAGGGATACCTTCATTCTAAACCCCTAGGGGACTGCCTGAAGCTGCTGTATAGAAACTCCCCTAGAATGTAAGCTTTGTGCGGGAAGGGGTTTTGTTTGATGGCTGCTGTAAATTACTTAATAAACAGCAGATGCTTAATAAATAGCTGTTGAGTTAATCGACGGACTCCAGGAATGGAGGCAGGCCCTTCTGGAACTGGAGAACGGACAAGGCCACATTTCACCACCTTCTCTGTTCTTCTTGGTGCCATCCCTGGAGTCCCCGGCAACGCCAATCCTTCTTAAATCCGGGTTGTGCCAAGTTTTCCTCCCTGTTCCTGTTCTTACACCTTCTCCTCTTTGTCTCTATTTCCTGCTATCCCCTGTGTATAAGCGCCCCTGAAATCAGAGTGGGAGACAGGAAAGTGAGAGAAGCAGAGTTCTGGAAATAGAGAGCTACCAGGGTGGCCTCTTCCTTCTGGAAGGACACAGAATGATGGGGTGAAACTGGTACTCTTCTTCAGCTCCCCCCGTTGGAAATTTGGACTTTGAACTTCAGTTTCATTGCTTTGAAACAGCAGCTATTCCACTTGTCTCGCAGGATTATTGCAAAGAGTCAGGCAGGAGGCTGAAAAGTTCTGGAGCACTGGAGCACATGATAGGTCCTACAGAAACCTTCATTTCCTGACTAGCATCCAGCAGTCTGGGAGTGCCCCAGTTGTGGCTGAAGATGGTTACGGTTTGATCATCAAGATCAGAACACCCCTCCTTTTTCACAAAATACTTTGAGGAGAATTTAATGGCTGCTGAAGATTAAGGCAACCTTCGTTTCTAAAACATTCAGGAGTTAATATGCTGTGAGTCCTGTGTTCTGTCGGGGCCTCCACTCACTCCAGAGGGATCTTTTCCAAGTAATTATACAATGACATTGTGACCAAGCTGAAGTCCAACAGCCCCAGCCTTTCCATCGGGGATCTTCTCCTGCAGGTGCTGCTTCTGCTTTGAGGACTACTGCGACGGAGATGAGCAGATTCTCCCTTCAGCTGTAGAGGGAGACAGTGAAAACCTAATGCTGTCAATAATGCTTTTAATCTCCAAAGGAAGGATCCGATTTCACTCTTCTCAGCCTGATTTAAGAACCCACCAGAAATAACAAACTTCATGGGGTAATTAGGAAATTATCCTCTTACAAATTTGTAGATGTCGCCTTTTCCTTGGGTAAGACAGAAAGGCGTTGTCTTTTACCACAGTGAAGCTGCTGCGATTAACCATGCCACCTGGGGAATTGTTCACTTGTGGGTAAGCTGATAGCTTTCCGTTCCAGGATGCACCTGCCAAGGTACTCTAGAATAACATGTTACATCCTCTGTGATGAAAGAAAAACTTCAATCACATTTAGTTAAAGGAGCCCTTTAAACCTGGCCTGTCAATATCCTGGAGGTGGAGAATTACACCAAGGTTAAGAAAAGGTTTCCCAAAACTGGCTAGACATATATTTGTTTAAAGGGATTAGGTGCATTCAGTCTGGGCCTGATCAATACTGCCTGTTTTGGGGTTTGTGGAAAACAGTGCAAATATCCACAGAGAACCTAGGAAGTCCCTAAAGACCTAAGGAGGGATTTTTTTTTCCAGTTGATAACAAAGAGAAATCCCTACCCATAAGATTTCTAAATCCTGACCTGTTTTAACTTAGGAGTCTTGTGAAAAGTTATTGGAAATATAGACCAAAAGCCCAATGGTAAAATTGGAATTAACACCAGCCTCCTCCTTTCACTCTGACATATTCTATCTCACTCCTTTCCTGCCTTTCCTGTTCTCTCTGTCTTATTCTGTCTCTCTGTGTCCCTCCATGTGTCCCTCTCATAAACACAAAAAGCAACAATCCAACAGGCTTGACAAACCTTAGATTCATGAGTCTTCTGAAGTTTTCAATATGCTAAAAGAAGTACTCAAAGAATATATGGGTGTATGTGCATATATGTTAGCATTTCTGTTTAGCACTTGATATATTCCAGAAGCTCTTACACACATTTCCTCACTGTGGCAGATGCTGTTATTATCCACAATTTTACCAAAGAGTAGACTGAGACTGAGGCTTGGGGAGGTGAAGTGACTTGGGTAACAGTGTGCCATCAGGGTACAGCACAGCCAGGAGTAAATCTGCCCTCCCAGTGCATTAGAAATGACCATTGTCTCATCCAGCCTACGTGAAAAGACGCCCATAATCAAATTACCACTCTATAGTAAAGCCCTGATAGCAGTTTCATGTGCAGCCCCTTCCAGAAGTATTGGCAATTCATAATCCAAATGAGAAAAGCTGTTAGTAAAAATTTCAGGTACTAGTAACAGCCTAAATAAAGGAAACAAATATTTGGGCTTAAGATGAGTCAGGGACTCTTGAGCTGCAAAAGTTGGCAGTTTTGTTTCTAGGAGCTTCTACGAGCCTCATGGATGCCACTCTGCCTTCAGCCTATGCCCTTCCAATCTGCTGTATGTGTGTCAAATGCTTGCTCCAACAGACCCGGACATACAAGCATCAGAAGGGAGGACTCCCTAGCATGGTGGCTCCCTGAGTGTGGTCCCAGGACTGGCAGAAGTAGCATCACCTGGGAGCTTAATACAAATGCCAATCCTCAGGCCCTGCCCCAGCGCTGCTAAATCAGAAACGTTGGGAGCGGGGCCCAGCAATCTGTGTTTTAACAAGCCCTCTGGGTAATGCTGCTACATGCTGAAGTGTGAGGACCACTGCCTATTGTCTACAACAGAGTGCCCAGACACCTCCCAGACCCCACCAGCTGAACCTGACAGGTTCCTCCTCCCCTCTAACCACACCCACCTAACACTCCCTGTTTCCTAAGCATTTCTTTTTCATGTATCTTTGATAACCTGTTCCCGTCATTTGGAATGGCATTTCCTTCTTCCCTGCCTGACAAACTCGTATTTATCATGTAAAGCCCAATTCAAAGATCTCTCCCTCTTGAGACTTCATGAGTTTTCTCTCTGCTGAGTTTTAGTTACTCCTTCTGTATCTCCCCTGATGGCACCTATGCATACCCCAACAGCATTGCCACATTGCATTCTTTGGCATGAGCCTTGTGGTGGACTTGGACCTCAAGGTAGCCCCAGCACCTAGTATTGTGCCAGGAATGTGGTAGGTACTTAATAAATCTGGACTCATTAAATGAACAAGTGAATGCTTGAGCCCAAGTACAGTCATCCCTAAAGGGTTGATTTTAGCACCTTTCAAGGATACCAAAATCTACAGATGCCCAAGTCCGTAGTATAAAATGGCACAGTATTTGCATCTAATCTATGAGCCTCCTCCACATACTTTACATCATATCTAGATTACTTATAATACCTAATACAATGTAATGCTCTATAAATCATTATACCTTATTATTGAGGGGAAACTGACAAGAAAAAATAGTCTGACATGTTCAGTACAGACACAATTTTTTTGGATATTTCCCATCTGAGGTGGGTTGAATTCATGGGTGTAGACCCCACAGAAATCTATATTCTATCAGGCCTCATTAAGTACTCAAACTAGGCAACTGGCCTGCGAGCACCTGGCTGGTTACTTCAGAGCCTGATCTGACCTCCAGGCATCCTGACTCCTAGCCAGGGTAGTCTGTGAAGTTCAGTTTGTTTCACCTGGGCGCCATGTCTTTAGGTTATGTAATTGTTAGACAGTAGTCATTTTTGGTTACTTTGTGACCGATAAATATGTCAAACACTTCAAACAGGTACAGTTCTTCCCTCGCGGCTGTGGAGCTGTGACTGCTGAGGCCACAGCCTGTATCGGTTATCTCTGCATCTCTCCGTGTTTGTAGTTGTAAATGGCAGCGACCTATCGCAGTGGTATCTAGACCAACTATTAAACCATTTATAATGCCCAGAAACCAATTTGTGGCAGCCAGCAATTAGTTCCATTCGTGTTTTTAATTTTTCTCCCTTTGAAGTTTAATAGATGGTTATTATGATGTAGTCCTCACTGACTCCAAGTCTGCAGGCTGTGTGCAACCTCAGTCAGCAGCCAGAGAAAATTAGACTCTACAGCAAAACCATGTAACCTAAAGCGATGCTTTGGATTCCACTTCTAAGCCTGTCTCTCTGTCCTGGTCTTCTTTGTCCATGAAGAGAGTTAGGATGAAAGAGGATTGGAATACATCCATTGTTTATTCCTTCGTGCAGCACACATTTAGCGAGCTTTACTATGTGTTGGGTACTGGGGATGCACAGAGAGCAAGACTTGATACGTCCCTTCACAGAGCTTCTAGACTAGTGGGGGAAGTTTGGGAAGAGGAATTTGCAGTCTAGTGGGATGCCTGCTATGATAGAGGAAGCTCAGGGGAGGGAGCTCAAGGGTGAGGAGCAGTTAGCCAGCTAGACATGCAGAGGAAGACTGCTCCCGGCAAGGAAGCTGGGGGGAGGTGAGAGAGAGGAGGCACTTCTGAAGAAGTCAAAATCATGCACATGGCTGGACTCAGGATGGCAGACTCTGGAGCTGGAGCTCCATCTGGGGTGTGATGCCTTGAAGTCCTCATGCATTTACCAGGAGAAAATAAAGCTAGTTTCACTTTAAAATGCCAGGTCATGAAAGGCTGAGATAAATGACAGTCTGGTGCTAGGACAGAAGGGGACAGGAGGGGGCATAATTTCTCAGTAGTGCTTTCCCTGTGATCAGCGCAGCCAGAAATTTGCCCAAGTGCACTTTG